TTGGAGAGTTTATTAAAAAACGAAAATGTTATAATATTCATCTGACGATCTCTATGCATTTCCAACCTTAAGATTGATATTAGAAAGAAATTTTTCAAAGGTTTCCAAATAGTGTAAGCTTCTTGTATTTATGCATTGGTATAGAATTAATATCAGTGAGTGGTTTAAGTGAATCTTTAACACTTCAATTTATTTTGGAAATAAATAAATGTTACTTATGTAATAGTAGCAATATTATCGACAATAATAAAATCAATAATAATGTTATCATACGTTTATTTGTTTAAAACATGGTATAACAGAATATGTATCAAGAGACATTGTTAGTGCAAACATGTTCGGAATATATTAAATAGCATGCAAATGTCTAATTGTATACAATGTCAATTGACTACTATTGGTCGAGCGCCTTCGATTTGTATAGAAAAAAACAGACACCTCTCCGAAGTGAGACAAGTGGTCACAAGCGACTGCGAGTTGCGATAAGCCACGCCAAATGAGCTCTATACACTATATACATTGGCGCTCGCCTTCACTCGGTTAGCTAGGAGAGTGACACCGAACGATGGCAAGGCAAGGCAAAATACATTGATAATTGGCGTTCACCCGGCAGCGTTGGACCAACATGTCACTGTATTGTTGGCTTTAGAAAATAGTAATTTTTAGTAGTTAGAGTTGTCAGTGGGAAAAAATCGGAATCGAGTGGATAATTTTATCTTCAGGACCTAAGAATGCCTAGTAAATGAGTCTTGTTTGATCTAAATTAACTATAAAATTATTTGTCAATAAACATAATGATGGAATTGCATTATCATGTAATCTAGTTACATTCAAAGTTCTGTTAAGTTTTGACTCATCAAAATGCAAGCGAACTAATGAAGATGGTCTTTGGTTCAATGTTTATATTCGGCAGTCATAGATTTCCAACCATCCTTTCTGATTTGTTGGTTAACTTGAAATAATGAATTGAATAATAATAAAAATCTCGCAGTGGATTGTTTTAATAACAGAATATCGATAATATGTTTGCTTAGAAGTACAACACTATCTCAAAATAATCGTTAACAACAATCATCAAAATATTCAAACAAACAGGCAATCTGAAGTAACCAAAGCAAAATCTGGCAAGATTTATGGATAAACAACGTAAATAAGTCTAATTACATGTAATATTTGGGCTATTGTGTGACTTATATCCAGAAAAATAACACTTGCCTGTGCAATGTAACATTCGGTTGGTTTTCGCTTTTGTTAATGCCACATCCCTTACTGGTGGAGAGACGTATTTTTATTAATACCTAATTGTTCTCACTGTCAATATTTTTGTCCATTTTATTACAATTCATGTGAATAATTCATTAAAACACTTGGTAAAACATTTGTTTTGACATTTGATATACTTCCCTTTGACAACGGTAACATGTACTGCGAAATGGACACAGTTGACATTTAAGATGACGTAACGTATTTTCGATTCCCGTGTTTGGCACAGACCAGTTTAATCATTGTTGAAAGATAGTCGTTTAATATCGTACGTTTACGCTGTCACTTTTTACATCGCAAATTAATGTTTTTTGTTCATTGTCGTTTGTCACGCCTTACAGTTTCTTTAATAAACCCGGCTTTTAATGTTGCTCCAACAAGAAAACAGTGAGGATTTTTAAATTCACCAAGTTTTGAACTAATAAGCGGGAAACGCTTTTTTGTTTCATTTATTCATTTAAATCAGGCAAATACGAGCCATGTAATATGGTGTATATATATTTTAAGGACTACCACAAGTTATAATATAAAAACTAAATATATAATAAATCACGAAGCGCACTTGTCGGCAATTTGTGGCGCAATCTCGAGTCAAGTATATTTTTAATTATTTAAAACTTTTTCACTTAACTTTTCTATTAGAGATTCAGATTCACAGAAAAAAAAAATTGTGTTTATCTATTACTCTGTATAAAAAGTCACCCATCACAAGTAAAAAAATTGCCACTCTATCAATTTTATTTCGGACTATAACAAGTAACTAAGTACATCGAGTTCTTAGGTTTTCACTATTGTTACACATAGGAAATGAAATTTTTCCGGATTTAAATTGACGGTTGACTCAACTGAGTCAGTCAAATGAGTCAACCGTGACCATGGGGCCTGTAAAGGGCCCGAAACATTGGTTTGTTTGAAAAAAACAAATATACGCAATTTAAATCCTGAAAAATAGTTTCATTTCTTATAAGTAACTAGGTACTTCACAAAATGTCGCGTGTTCTTGGTACTTACTTAATAACCCTGAAAATGTAGAGGTTGTACGAAAAGTTGGGGATGACAGCAATTTAGCCAACTAAGAGCCCTCTGGGACGTGTCAACCGACCGACGCCGCTTTCAGTTAGATTAACCTTTTAACACGAAATCATTTAATGTCCTTATACCTGCCTAAACGTTTTGTGCAGATTCGTGGTTAAAATCTTAAACTATATTCTTAAGTAAACCATCATTCTCATGTGAATGTTCCTACTTACAAACGCGTGTATACATTGTATAGTAATTATTTAAAAGAAATATCTTACTAAGTATATTTTATTATTTTTGATAGCAGTAGCGTTCCTATGAAAGAGTTGAAGAGAGTCGCAACCAAGATTTGATCTATGTAAAATACGTTTTCACCTCACTATCTCGGAAACGCTTTCTTTCTCAGTAGAAATCTGCACGCAAAAACGTTTCTTGCGCGCTAGCGTGGAAAAGGTTTTTGAAATTCGAACTTGACGATGGACTGTAGTGCACCTAACTTTTTCTTTCGATGAAAAAAATAAGATAATGACACGTTCAACTGCGTGAATTGTCGTAAGTACGTTACTTATTTATGTAATATAAATCCGTTGGTACTTTTTATTCTTATTATTGTTGACATTAAATTGACTTTTCGTTTAAACTCAGAACACATCCGAAGCACTTTTCCTTGTAATTAAAAAAAAACTGTTGTTTTATAGTTCTATTGTTTTTTTTTCATCCACCGTTTTCCTCGCTATAGTGAGGTGAAAAGTTGTGTGGTTCGCACGGCAGCAAAGTTGTTTTGCGTCTCGTGCCTTGAAACCATCGCTCCCTCCACCACGCTCAGGAACAAACAATAAATTTGCTGCTTTGCATAACAAATAACAAATGTTTTTTTCAATCCGGACACCGAGGAATCAGGTGTCTAACAATAATAATTTTGTCGAAATAAAATACACAAGACCTAAGTAGTATTTAGATCATCTAAAGGTAATACACGGCAGGTTGACGTAAAATTGTAATAATATTTTATAAAAATTACATTTTCCAAATTCATGTTTCTTTTCTTTCATGTTACGATATTATTAAAACAAAATGGCGCAGACTCGAAACACGCTCCAAACGAGGACCTTATTAGTTTCATATTTCACCCTTGTCAAAGTCAGTAAAGTAACTACCAACTGTCAGTGTCTGTAGTCATTTCGTTCTTTACATTGTAACATTTACTTGTGCAATATAGCAGTAAAAGTTTTCATCTTTCGGGACTTTTCTTTTTTCTTCAATAGTTTAATCAACTGACATTTTTTTCGCGGGAAATCGTTGTATCGTATTTTGAAACACTTACATTATTATTTAATTATTGCTATACGTTGACCTAATACAACTAAACGCATTGATTTCTCTCTACACAGCCTTCGTAGTTTGAATAATATTTGCTCGTTCGGATGTTGCTTGACAGAAATTGGAGCTGTCGTAAAAAGGTTTACTGGACTTGTAAATGTAATAAATGTAAACGAATTCTAGAAGCCTACTTTATTTGTGTAGTAAAACGATCCCAGAGGGTTATGAAAGGTTTATGCTTGTAAGAATGTTATTTCGGCACCCTTTAAAATAATGAAAACAAGGAAGGGTAATATTGACTGTCATTAATTTTCTGATGTTTTACTACCATAATATCAATTTTCGTCACACTTGCACGTAAATAGTATGATTGCATGCAGGCTAACTTGGTTATAATTCCCGAAATAAAACCCTCGGGCCTTTTTTCTCATTAACGACCATGGCTGTAATGCGAAGAAAAAAGGCCCAAGGACTTTATTTGGGGCATTATAGTTAAGTTAGCCTGCATGAAATCATACTATTTACATGCAAGTGTGATGTAAAACATTGTATGATTCACGGGCGTTACGGGAATTACGAACTTCGACTCCGAAAGCCCTCAGTTTTCGACCTCGGGCTTCTAATAGAGCCTCGGTCGTAATTCCTTATTTACCGCCATTAATACTCAATGTACTAATATTTTTTATTAAATTACTTCACTAGTATGTTATAAATATTAATACAAAGATTGTTGCTTTGTTTTGGGATCCTAACTATATATCCATGTTTCGTCACCTGTTATTATGTCCCACACCAAATTTGACGCCCCTTTGTTGAATCTGGTAAGCATGGCATTGCACCAAGTGACGCGATCCGTTTTTTGAGTCTCAGTCGAATTGTGTGGGATCCACCGAGAGCACAACTTTTTCATACCCAAATATTTGTGTAGTATTGATTGTATTTGACTCATGTCTATACCTAAAGATGCCCGAATCGCATGGTATATCACATGCCAGTCTGTTTTGATCATACAGCGCACAGCATCGATGTTTTTGTTGTTCACAGCTGTGGACAGCCTTACAGCTACCAGACGTTGACAAGAGACGTCGCTTTATAAATTGTAATATTGATTTTAATATTATGGTGTTTCACTAACATGACATTCATTTATTTGTGAAATTATTCCACTAGTTTGTTATAATTATTAATACAAAGATCGAACACAAAGAAAAATAATTTTGATCTGAGAGGACTCGAGTCTCCGTCTGTACTATAACCAGGGCAGGGAATTTTTCTTTGTCTTCGTAATTATAATAAGGAAGGGTCTTTAATAAATATTCAAATTCAACAATCACGATATGCAATTCGTATGCCAAATAAATAACACGAAAACTAATTTTATTTTGTTCACATAAAGTTCAGATTCTAATGTGGAATGTTGATAAGAAATCAGGTGCTCGTACTACAACGTGTTCGAAATCCATGAAGGAAAGTCTTCCATCGCCGTCGACGTCTGCCTCATCCAGAACACTGGCTACGATCTCGTCCCTTTCGTGTGGATGTAATTCCCCTCTTGTCAACAATCTTGTCGCTTCAAGCAAGTCTTCCCTTCCTATGTACATGTCATCATCAAGGTCGTATATTCGGAATGCGTACCTGAAACATTTTAATAAAAATATTTGTTGAATACGATACAGAGACATATTAAATTTGAATTTGATGACTGGGACTTATTCTTAAACGACTTCAAAGTCAAAAAATTATTTATTCCACAGGTAAAATAAATTTACGCTTGAAGTCGTCACATTTGAGCGACTTGCTCGTTCACTACGCTGACTTCCCTGAGAAGAACGAGCAAGAAACCTTAGGGATTGCTTTTTTGAAATAAACTTAAATGCTATGGAATACACTTTGCAATAAAATCAAATTTGTGTGGAGTCTAGAGCCATGTCGTCTTTCCATAAATCTTTATCTAACACGTAGTCTTCAATTTTGTAATATGACTTTTCAATCAAAATGTTTTTAATGTAGTATTATAAAGTATAGGACATGTTATTATGGGTTGATAATGATGATATTACGTTTTGAGTTTCTTAATTATTTGATATATATCTTTTTAACCCTTTTTTTTTTTTTTTGACGGGGGGGAAATCTTTATGGATACCCCTGAGCCCAGGGAGACTCAGGGGTTATGTGGGGACTCTCCCTCCAGACTGGAGGGCCTACCCCACTAAAACCCCCCCGGGTTTCCCTCTCGCCGGTTGAGTCGGCGCCGTGGGATCAGTGATATCTTTTTAACCCTTAATTACTCGCACTTACTGTCATGCACTATAAAATAATAACATCGGTCTACGCCTACAGTAAAGTTACTAGGAAGCACTAATTCGTGCCATATGATATTTTAGTGACAAATAGGACGTCAAAGAGTATGGACGCGTCATTGCACTCTAAGTGCGTGACCCGTACGACGACTTACGTAACCTTTTTCGTCTCAGGTAAGTAAATCTATTATTAATATTAGTTGTGTTTTTGAATAGTATCTTGTATTATTTTTTTTTATTGAGTTTGTAAAATAAAAGTTTAGAATTGATTTTTGCGTTAAAATTTCCGGTTTTTATGTATATATATGACAAATATTTCAAAAAAAATCAGTTGCCTACAATACACCACGTAGTCGACATTGACTAGACGTTAGGCGACAAGAAAAATCGTACCCATGTGAGACATTATTTCTTACGACAGCGTGTAGTAGAACTAGTTCAAAATTACCAAAGACAACAGGAAAATATGAAAACAAACCCCAAAAGTTATAACAAATCGACTTATTGAGGTGTATGATCTGAAGAATCGAGCAGTCCCATCGACAGCTAAGCGTGGACTGTGCAATAACTGCAAAAATTCATGAAATGCACTAAATTTGTTTTCAATGACCAGTCTAGGATCTATTATCAGACTTGTGATATCAGGGATTCGAAAAATATTATTTTGATTTTCATTTCAGAATGCTTCAAAAGTGTAATTTTAGAGAGGATTTATAGTTCCTTTTTTATAAGTTTCTATTAGTTTTTATTTGAATTGCTCCTTTAAGTTCTGTGTTACGTGTAATATTGAGATTTTTAGTTAATACTATTATTAGTTCGTTAGAAATCTTCCTAGTAAATTGGAGCCAGAGAGCCGCCCATGCGAGTAGTTGTGTGATTTTCTTCGTGCGAGTAACCAAGGGTTAAGCTGATGACTCTACAACCAATGCACAATAAATAAATAATCATAAAAGTAACTAACTATTTTCTTTTTGGCGTGTCTCTTTACGAGGAAATTGATATACATAGGTATATTAATATAATTGATATCTTATACATTATGTTACAATATTTCTAAATACAAAGAATGGCAATAACACTCATCTCAAGCGGGAAACTCATTAGTTATCGTGGGTAATAAAAATATACCGAAATTGCTAGCTAATGTTGATCGACGCCTTGCGTGAACGTGGCCAATTCGTCATTATGATAGCCAGGCAAGTCATGTTTGTGAAAAACGCATGTTGCAATAAATGAATGGATTCTAGAATTGAGATTAAACCCCGACGTCTTGGGGATATTTGAAAAATTATATAAGTCGCTGCGCACCTTTGGTGTAATAAGACCACATCTGCAAAATTACAGCTTTTCATTAGAGAGGTTTTTCAAATTCAAATTGAAATCGTCTTTATTGCGTAGGCAAGCAAATTACATTTGAAATCGTCACATTATTTTAAATTTTATTAAATTTTTAATTAATTTAATTTTTTTATGTGAAATTACTCCACTAAACGATGAAGCATGCACACCTAAATAAAGCCTATTCACTCTCCCGGATTCGGCTAAAAAGTCGTTGAAAAACCAAATACAAAGACACGATAACAAGCACATAGAAAAATTCGTGAGATCCGCTGGTTCGTTCCGTGGCTTAGTTGGAATAGCGTCTGGCATGGTACGCTAGAAGACGTCAGTTCCAATCGGGCCTGATCGAATGAATTATTTCTGAGTGTTCGAACTTTGTATTTATCATTATCGTCATATTAATTAAACTTTACTGCTCATTCGTAAGGCAATGTACCATAACAAGAATGAGCAAGGAACTCTAGGGGTTGCTCTTTTTTTGAATACATTTAACATTTACAATATTTATTTCAAACATATCGTGGGTTGAGTATACACTACCACGGATTCTTGTCATCCAAGTGCGCAGAAGCTGTATAATACTAACCTTTAGTATAAAGTTTTTGTTTCACTATAGTTTTAAACCTCGTAAATGGCATGGCGTTTAAAGATTATTTTTTTGTAGGAGTGTTACAAAATGTATCTTAATACGTAACACCATGTAACACGATTTATGTTTTTTTTCACATACTCATGCCTTGCACTGGGGAAACCCTGAATCGCGGGTGCCATGGACAGACACATAGACAACTATAAATTACACACAAATTCACAAGAGGAATAAATGTAAGCCATACAAATATTTCCCTTTTAAATTACATTTAAATAGTCCCGGGAATCGAACCCGACATGTCTGCGTGGCAGACCAGTCTGGTAACCGTTAGGCCACGGAGGCACTTTCTGAGTTATCAATATCATTTTTTAATTGGTGCGAACATAAAAACGTGAAATACTATATTTCCCGAAGAAAACTTTGAATTAGTGGTCAGAACAGCCAAAAGTTGAAAATTACATACCATTATGGAAACGAAGAAAGTTTCGAGTGTTTTTATTTAAAAACGAAAAGAGAACATTAATATTTCAAATCAATGTTATATTTCAACCAAAATTCTACAAATATGTGACAAAGAACCTAGAAATGTGTAGATTTGCGAGATCACGTAGGTAAATACCACTGTGGCAGTCACAGAAGTGAAGTTACAGGGGTGTATAAAACTAGAAACAGAACCTTTTTAAAAATTTGTTACATAATTTGTTCCAAATATTTCATATGACTTTTTTATAACATTAAGTGATGGGACGAACAAGTGGTGTAGCTGGTGGTAAGCTGCACTGCTGCCCATAACAGCTGCAGTGCCATTCAGAGCTTTAAATCGCAATGATCTGAGGGGCACTGCGCCCGTCGCCCTGAGACATAAGTTGACAAGTCCCATGTGCCTGTAATTTCACCAGTACCCTTAGAGTGACACAAGTAACATCCGAAGTGGGTCCAAGTTTTCTAGATTTCTATAGTTTCGCATTCGGAATAAATACGAATCGGATGCTCTCATTACTGCTTGGCGGCAGAAATAGGTAGCAGTACTTCCCGGACGAACTCTTTTACAAGGATATCTGCTGCTACTAATTTCGTGTGATAAAAACACTTTTGACGAAACAAATTATACCGAGAATATGAAATGTTTATGAAATGTATCTATGACAGATTGCTACAGCGGTGCATAAAATTTTCACCCAAATGTTTCTTCTCGGTAACGCGTCTGTCGAAAACATTCAAAAATGGGTTTTTATTATTGTCACGTACAGTGCATTTTTCAAAACAACAAGACGAGGAGCGAGCTCGACGACAGCGCCCCGTGTTTTGTTTTTCTTAAATTGTTGAGCAAAATCGCATTTAATGAAGCCGGGTCTGACAGGCATACATGAGCATAGCCACTGGTAATATGTCAGTCTTTTTTTAATTAAAAAATGTTCACATAAATTTATCCAAGCGTAACTTTTTCTATTTTTAACCGACTTGAAAAAAAAGGAGGAGGTTATACTTTCGTCTGTATATATCGCACTGCTATTACAATAGTGTTGTAACTCAAAATATGTGAAATTTAATATTATATCATTACTGAACGTAAAATTTGATTCTCTACACGTGAAAAAAACCGGCGTTGGAATATTGTAAGAAACAATAAAAAGATATCCACTTGACTCAAAATGAGATAGTTCTGGCCAAAATAATCCTGTATTCAAAAATATTGAATTATTTTTTCCGTTTCATTTTTAATCTATTTAAGAAATTGTTTAAGTGTCTATCTATCATTACAATTTATGTATGTTATGAACTATAACATAAATAAATTGTAATAATTTTTTGCGGGAAGTGAGTAATTCGCTTTTCAACGATTCTGAGAAAGTCCACTTTTTGAGTTAATACACTATTGTATTTTGATTTCAGATTTCTCCGTCAATTGTAGACCGATTTTGAAAATTATTTTTTTGTTTGCAAGGGTGAATTCTCGTCGTGGTCCCATTGTCACTAAATCAGAATCTGATGAGGGGATCCATCGAAATCGAGGAAAATCCTCCAATTTTTGACACGTTCACTGACATATCGATTTCTCCATGAATTGTGGACCAATTTTGAAAATTCTTTTTTGTTTGAAAGGGTATAACGATGCTGCTCCGGGTTCGTTTCAGCTATCACAAAGTAAAAAAAAAATCCGTAAATAAAAGTCGACTTTCCACTTGACACAATACATGTAACCAACAAATCACAGTCACCATGACAACCAGAAAAAAGTACAAAATGTACAAATGTGTCCGAAACAGTCCCATTGTCACTAAAAAATTCGGAGTCTGATGAGGGGATCCCATGGAAATCGGAAAAAGCCGATAAGTGAACTTTTAAGGGCGGTTTTCTTTTTCAATGAAAAAGTTACAATTATGATTTGCTATGTTATCAAGCGACGGGACGAACAAGTCGTGCGCCGTTGGTAAGCGACACGCCTAACCATAATAGTTTCAATGTCACAAAAAGCTTTAAATCGCAAAGATCTGACATAAAATTTACAAGTCCCATGTGCCTGCAGTTTTACCAGCATCATTACTTTCAAACCGGACAATATTAACGCAAGAACAGTAACCAGTAATAAGAATTGCTGGGTCCCAAGCCTATTAAGTTTCTTGAAACCACTTGATCTCTGTAATTCCATTGAGACTCCACTGCTGCAATTATGATAACATTTGTTATTCTGCTAAATCTAGTTGCAATGGCAGTTGAGTCTCAACATTGTCAGCGGGATGGCAGCATCGAGTATATAACCAGAAATAGAGACGAAATGTTATTTAATTTGTTTGAAAACTATTCTGCCAAATCATTACGGTGACAACTGTCGACCAGTTTAACTAGAGCTTTGCTTTTTTTATAATGGACGAAAATTGGAAAATTACATATTTAATATTTAATTACCGATTAAATGTGAACCGTTTGTTTTGTAATTACATGTTTTGCTGTTTTTCCCATACCACCGAATGGAATAGCTCCCCATTGTTACAGATAATATATTTATTACAATAAGAAATATTTTTGGAATATACGGAGACATACACATGGGTCAGTGGTTGGCGCTATACTATTTCAGCTTTCTGATTCGTGATTTCAACGCAAACGAGAGTTGATATTTCAATGTGATATAAGGCCCATTTTCCTGATGAGTTGCCAGGGATGGATGACCCTTATTTCGTCTCTATTTCTGGTTATATACACGATGGATGGCAGTGATGGCATTCATTCATTCAATCACTAACGATCGATGTTGCCTTACAATTTATGTACCATGGGCATTACTATGTAGAAATACAAATACCAAATTGCAGGTTGAACGAAAAAAAAAAAATTTTTATTTCGTTTAACCAGCAATTTGATCTTCATATGAAATATATATAATATTAGTAGACTACATCACTGACGTGCCAACCACTTGCCATTGTCAAGCTAAATATCAAAGAATTGTAATGTCTCTACAATTTTTTTGCTCTGCTTTCTCTGCTCAATGGCTAACAACTATTGACAAATTATTACTTCTAAAGCTTCTAAGCAGAATACCAAACGTATAAATTCTATATAACACACAACTGACATGTTTTAATATTCCCAGAATTGGGGCAGAATATAGGTCATTCTTTTGTAAAAAAATATTAATATTTTTGTACCTAATAACCCTTTGTTTTTGCGCAAAATTACGTACTTGAAAAGCAAATAGGCGATGTTTTTCTTTAATACAAAAATGGTGCGCATTTCACCTCTGTCGCACCTGATGGAAAGAGGCGATGAGGTCGAAGATGTTGCATTCGCAAATAACGCCTAATTAGTAAATAACGCCTATTCACTCTCGACTTGAAAAGACCCAAGTTAAAGCGTTCGGGAAATAAGTCCGCTGGCAGATAAATCCTCTCCCTAGCCGCTCGCCATATAAATGTGGAGGCAAAACGGTTCGTGCAAATCCAACATAGGGGTGGAACCCCATCCTATGTCGAATCCCCCGATAATGGAAAGGCCAAAGCGGAATTAACTTTTGCAATTCCATCGCACACTCTCCGTGATATGTCCAGTAGAAAAACGATAAGCAGGATTTTACGCCGGAGTTCAAGGCTCTGCAGCTTCGCTTCTACTAAATTCGAGTCACCTATAAGCCTCTTGGCACGATTTTGACGTCAAAAACTCAACCGCGTTTTTATATTTGCTCTAAAAATGTCTCACTAAGATTGGTCGTTCTATATTAGTACTATAGTTAAGTTTAATCATTATGACATTTAAGATTAATTTAATTTAATTTGCTTTGGAATTTTCATGTTCAATGTCAATTTTGATTTGGAGTTGGATTAATTATTTTAAAATTCATTTAAGATTTGAAATTGGAATATAAATTTTTGTTCCAATTATTTCACATGTTAAGCAATTATAAATGGAATATAATTATTGAATTGACGTTATTCTTGTAAATACCTGTATAATTTGTATTTACTTTTAATTAACAATGGGATAAGTGTCTCGATTCCATCCGCGTTAAGAATCATAAGACCCAGTTCACAATTTTGCGCGGGAACGTTTCAATTGTTTTTTTTTTTTTTTTTTTGTGTGTGTTATGCTATTATGAACCAATTTTAATGACGCAGGCATCTGTGGACCGATTTTGATAATTAGTTTAATACAATACTTCAGTATTGGTTTCATTTGAATTTGAAGAAAATTTTCCACCTCTAAGGGTGGCAAATTAGGGGATGACTTCGGTTTCGCGCACTTTTCGCTATCCGATTTCAATAAAACTTGGCAAATACATATGTCGGTTTTTTTTACAAAAAACTTATTGTGGTTTACGATTGGTTACGTAGATGGAGTCCATCTTTATATAAACTGATACCATTGAATCAAGTTGATAGAAATAAAAGTTATTATTAAAGTAGAAACGACAATGTTTGAAGAAATTGATGCAAAACCAACATTTTGCATGCAAATAAGATCAGTGGCGTACCGCTTTAATGCCAAGTTATTGCTAAAGTTACAGGAGCTTCGTAACTGCGGTTAACTCTTTAGCCAGTTATATCTGACTCACCAGGCTTTAATGTCCCTTGGTGCAGCCTCGCTAAAGACGGACATCATGTCCAGGAAATCCTCGAAGGTCAGATTGCCGGAGCCGTCGTGCGAGAATACCTGGCAGATACGTCGCTTGAAAGGATTCTCCTAGAAAATACATAAAAACTGTATTATTGATTTAATTCTATCATAATCTATCGATAAAACTTCTGTCGAATAGTTTTGTAGATTTGAATCTTACAAATTTTTCTATGCGTTGTTACCATTGACTTACAAATAAATGGACGACGGGTCTAATACAAACACCACGAAAAAAATGTCCCAAGTCAACCTATTTAAACGTAGTGACATGTCAAGGAATATGAAAAAGCTAAAACGTTGAATTTAAATTGTAATGTCATCGCAGTATTGTTTAATTTTGCTTGCTTCGCTGTCAGTCGAACAAACGAAGACTAGAGTGTGAATGACGCTCTGTATACGATTTTAACGCCCTATATGTTCGGACACTTTTTAGCGCGGACCCGACGTGAATATAATTGTAAGTCAATGGTTGTCACAGATCTTTGTTTTCTCATAGAAATCTATGAAACTTTTTCTTTATTCAACTCTAAACTTGTTGTAATTGGCAAAACAGACACAGGAAGGAATTTTAATACAAATAAAATTTTATTCAAATTCCTTTAATACAAAAAACGTGCAAATGTAAAGAGCAAAGAACTAGACAAAAAAGAAATTAATAAACAAAAAATATGAATAAGTCAACTCGGGTGTAGTATTACAATGAAGAAAAATATCACTGAAACATGAACGTTGAAATATTAAATCAAAAATAATGAGTACCTGGAATTGCTTTAGGCACACCTGTGCCTTTATAAAAAAGACGAAATATTTTTTATACACATTTATTTTTCATCTTCTAAAAATGATGACGCAAAGGCAATTTTCCTTTATGAGTTGGACAAACACAGTGTGTTTTTTCGTTGAATTATATCTTTTTTTTAATTTACCGTTTTATTTAGTCTTTGAATATAATAAAATATCATTTCGCTCTATACTCTATGTTTATATTAACGGAGTTGTAATCTCAAACGCAGAACTTACGACCATCATGTGATTGTATAAGTTCTTGACATCTTGTTTTAATTACAATACGACAGTAAAGGAAAACATAGCGAGGATACCTGTATGTAGAGTTTCAAAGTATGTAGTAATAGTAGAGGATATATGTCGCACCTTTGGAACGAAAGTGACTCAACACAAAATTTTAAGATTTTGGGAAGACAATCTCAAAATATAATTTTCAGAAACTAGACGCTGTGAACATATTACTGAACTTTTTTTTTTTAATTTGACCTAACAAGAATCAAGTCTCTTTTTTTCAACAGCGTATGCAAGATTATTTGACCTTATTGAGATTAAGCCGTTTTAATTATAAGAGAAAGGAGTAAGTCGCTTTTGTATAAATTTAACGATGATTTTCGGAATGTCACTTTTTGTTCGTATTGTCTTTGCAGGTTCAACACGAGATTCAACACGAAATGCGGCGTTTACATCGCGGTAGCAGAATTTGAAATATATGAAAGAGAGACCCATGTAGGGAGTCTATGCTACACGTAGTGTTGGGTAGGACATGAAATTAAAATGAGTTCGAGGACCTCATTTGAAAAAGTGAGGCGGTGCCATGTCCTACTTTAAATGAGGCGAGGTAGTGGTAAGAATGTTTGCAACTACGGCAATAACTCAACAGACAGGGAATATTAAGCACATTTTCATAACTTGACTATATCGATAATTTAAGTGTTATGATATAGTATAAATAAATGTTAATTTAGTGTAGTACTATGGTAGCATGATCATATGATGTAAAATCAGGTAAAATCCGGGCAGTGTAGGACAAATCCTTGTTGCATTTGTTGAATTCGAAGCAGTGTGACATGAGGCTATGACATGAGGTGAGGTTTGATTTAAACTTTCACGATTTTTCCACATTATTTGATTTTTAATTCGAGACTTAATCACGTATAAAACATATTTTATTTTATTAACCTCGACGTACCGTAATTTCAACCGAGAAGACGGTTTTAAGCTTTCATCATCATGGGATCCAGTTATCAGCAAGCGTAAACGACATCAAGTATTGCCCGAACAGTCGCCGGATGTCGTGAGTGTTGTGTGTCGGTCTAGTGAGAATCCTAGTGCACAAATAAATAATGAAGATCAAGTGTGGGCAGTTAGAAAAACTCGCACGACTAGAAGATGCTGACACCCGCCTCTTCAGCCCCTTCGAGACCATGGACGTTGCAATATGTCCGAAACGTCGAGGTAAATAAAATAAAATATGTTTTACACGTGACTAAGTCCCGAATTAAAAATCAAATAATGAGGTGAGGTGTGAGGTGGGACATTTTAATGACATGAGATGTTGTGACAAACTAACCAAGCAAGTGGTACAAATGAGTTGCCTTGTATATGAGTAACTCAACACTAGCCACACGAGTTTTAATGGAGCAGTTCCAGATTAACAACCTTACGAACAGTGATTTTTAAAGTCGTTTTACGGTATAAAATAATTTTCTTCATATTTTTAATTAGGTTACTTTCTTTCTTGGGGTGCGATTTGGTTTTGAATTAGGTCACCTTCGTTCTTAAGGTGCGGATAGACTTCAAATAAATAAATATAAATATTAGACAACATCACCTATTTTGCCCTGATCCCAAGTATGTAATTAAAGCAATTGTGTTATGGAAATCGTAAACAACAACGGTACCGCAAAAACCCAGACTCGAGACATACAGAAAAGTTAGTTTTCTGCATTGACTCGGTCGGTGACCGAACCCGGGTCCTCGGAGATGGACCTCGACCACGGAGGTCAGCTAAAGAAAAGAATGGCTAAATTTAAATCTACGGTTTAATAGACTTATTTTATTTACTCACTTTAAGCTCTGGAAGTTTTTCAATCTCCTCGACCGGAACGGCGATGGTGTGCGCTTGACTTTCTGTCATGCGTTTGGGCACCAGCTCCGGGTTCACGTCGCGGAACCGCTTGAATACCCTGGCCACAGTAAAATAAAGACCTCTCGTATAAATTACGATAAATAGACGACAACGAAATGAAGGAATAAACCAAAATCTAAGGCTAATTTTGCTGAGGAGTTTTCCGCGCTCTCATAACCACAATTCCTTATGTTATCAAGCAATAAGATGGCCAAGTCGTGTGCCAGGTGGTAAGCTGCACGCCTATCCATGACAGTTGCAGTGCCACTCAGAGATTTTAATCGCAAAGATCTGAGGGGCACTGCCACTGCGCCCGCCATCCCAATATATAAATTAACAAGTCTCAGGTGCCTGTAATTTTACCAGCAACCTTAACCCTTCAAAACCGAAATGCATTAAGCTCACATTATTGCGTGATGGCAGAAATAGATAAGGATAATAACACACTCACAGCCCCGGGTGTATCGCGGGTGCCACAGACACACACAACCACAAATTACACCCAAACTCACGAGCGAAATAAATGTAGGCCATGCAAATATTAATCAGTCGGACACGAAGACAGTTTAATAAATTGGCATTACTTGGACAAACATTTTCACAAGCTACTAAAGTAACAGTAGAGCTCCTTTGAAAGAGTTCGTCCAGGGAAGTACTGCCACCTTATTTATTTCTGCCGCCATGCAGTAATATCAGCATTACTGTTTTCCGGTTTTGAAGGGTAAGGGTGCTGGTGAAATTACAGGCACATGGGACTTCTCAATTTATGTATCAGGGTGATGGGCGCAGTGGCGGTGCGCCTCATACCTTTGCGATTTAAAGAGCTGAGTGACACTACAACTGTTACGGACAGGCGTGTAGCCTTACCATCAGACGCAAGACTTGTTCGTTCCGTCTCTTGATCTTATATACTTGATATTAAAATAATGTGAACTATATGCAACAAATTATGTATATATGAAATTTTATAATTCCACTAAATAAGCAGAAGAAAATTAGCGAATACTTTTTTTCGTAGAATCTTTAAGCCCCTCTCCTGAAAAGTTGCTATTTTGCAGATGTGACCTTATTACATAAGAGTGTGAGTTGTAAATTATAATTTTACCAATGATGATTTTTAAATGTTTATGTATGTATTCTTTATATCACTTGTAATTATATCATCAACATCAGTCAAAATGATTACTCGACTTTTATTCTGTACGAAAATTCCTTTAAGCCTTGAGGTAAACTTGATTTTTGTCTCTGAAAATATTTTAGAAGAAATGCTGCACGTTCCTCGTTGCTTTATTTCCGCGAGATGAATACTTAAAATTTCAATTTCATGCTTGTAAAACAACTCAAACAACAAAAATCGTTTAATATTTTGTTAATAAGTTTTTTTTGTACAATGTACTCTACATAGCGGAAACGGTATTTCTTTATGGTACCAAGTAACGGGACGAACAAGTCGTGTGTCTATAACAGTTGCAGTGTGACTCAGAACTTTACATTGCAAACACCCGAGGACATTGCTACTGCGTCACCCTGAGACATAAGCTGATACACACCCTTCAAAACCGGAACGCCAAGCAGTAATGCTCACGTTACTGCTTGGCGGCAGAAATAAGTAAGGTGACAGTAAGTACTTACCTGGACGAACTTTCACAAAGAGGTCTACTGCTACTAAATTAATGGTGGTAGGCTTCCTTTGTGTTTGTAATACGTCTGGGTAAGTATGGCATTCCTGCTTGTTTCTATTATAAAGCACACAGTTTTTCGGGATTGAAGGATACAGCAGGTCCACCAGAACCACCGCAATCACAGGCAAACTTACAATGCAGTCTAGTTTTTGTGACATCCGACCATGACTCCCGTACATCATTTTTACCCACCGCGACTCCTTCTGGGAGCACAATTATGTCAGTGACTACATCAGTCCGTATGCTCTATCGCCAAACATACTATATTCCCCATCATCGTCGTCAACCCCTCACACGTCCCACTACTGGTCATGAGTCTCCTCCATATAAAGTGAGTTTACATGTTAAGGTTATGTTCTATTATGATACGAGTGCGATCCTTAGGTTTGATAAATACGTGACTTTAAGGTTAAATAAAAACGTTTTTCGGAATTTATTTTTATATCTTAATTTAGAACTTCTTAATAAGAAACTAACGTTACTTTTTTAAAACTAGCGCAAAAATCAATTTGAAATGAAAAAGTTAAAAGAAAAATGTATGTCCGGTCGGATCCGACCGGATCGAAGGAATTTTTTCTGAGTGTTCGATCTTTGTATTAATAATTATAACAAACTAGTGGAGTAATTTCACAAAAAATAATTGAATATCAATTCAATAAACATTTAATTAATACAGTGAATAGCGACATCTCTCGCCAGGACTGGTAGCTGTAAAGGTACTAACTGGGTGATAAATCTGTTAAAGATTTCTCATAGATGGTGCTACGACTAAAAAGTTGTTGAAAGACCAAGTACAAAGACACGACGCAAGCACATAGAAAAATTCGTGAGGTCCGTTGGTTCGTTCCGTGGCTTAGTTGGTATAGCGTCTGGCACGGTATGCAAGAAGACGTCGGTTCGTATCCGACCGGATCGAAGGAATTTTTTCTGAGTGTAATTTTCTGAGTGTTCGATCTTTGTATTAATAATAATTATAACAAACTAGTGGAGTCATTTCACAAAAAATAATTGAATATCAATTCAATAAAAATTTAAGAAAAATGTATATTTTTTGAAGATGGAGAAAACGGGATTCGTATCTAATTTTTTAACGATTTGCATCAAATGAAGAAGTGATAACTGAACCAGAGGCTTATTTTTCCGTATGACAAAAAAAAATGTATGAGTTGAAGAAGGTGGGATATCACTAGTCAATTGTGTAAGAGATTACGTAGAAAATAAATAATAATTTAAAAACAATGTTTCTTTACTTCTTATAAACCTAGTTATCGTATGTATATATATAGATTGTGTTACAAGTTTTCTGTATACAGTGAATGGGAATTACATTAGTCATCCAGAGGAAAATTCATTTAGTCATCGGGGTAATGATACCGAAAATGTATGCCATTGCTGATCGACGTCTTGCGTGAACTCAGCCACTTCATTATGATAGCTAGGTAGGTCAAACGGCAAGAGCTGTAAACATGAAAGTAAACTTACTTTAGCAGTAGAGCTCCTTGTGTAAGAGTTCGTCCAGGGAAGTACTGCCACCTTACCTATTTCTGCCTCCAAGCAGTAATGTTAGCATTACTGCGTTTCGGTTTTGAAGGGTAAAGGTGCTGGTGAAATTACAGGCACATGGGACTTGTCGACTTGTGTTTCAGGGTGACAGGCAAAGTGGTAGTGCCCCTCAGACCTTTGCGATTTAAAGTTCTGAGTGGGACTGCAACTGTTATGTACAGGCGTGTAGCTTACCATCAAGCGTACGACTCGTTAGTCCCGTCACATGATATTATAAAAATAAAATAAACAATTTAAAAACAAAAAACAAAACAAAATGAGCAACCACAAACAAAATATTTTTTTTTCTGAGTGTTCGATCTTTGCATTAATAATTATAACAAACTAGTGGAATAATTTCACAAAAAATAATTGAATATCAATTCAATAAAAATTTAAAATACAGTGAATAGCGACATCTCTCGCCAGGGCTGGAACTGTAAGGATCTAACTGGGTGATAAAACTTTCATAGATTTCTCATAGATGGTGCTACGACTAAAAAGTCATTGAAAAAACCAAATACAAAGATACGACGCAAGCACATAGAAAAATTCGTGAGGTCCGCTGGTGCGTTCCGTTGCTTAGTTGGCATAGCGTCTAGCACGGTAAGCTAGAAGACGTCGGTTTGAATCCGGCCGGAGCGAGGAATTTTTCTGAGTGTTCGATCTTTGTATTAATAATTATAACAAACTAGTGGAATAATTTCACAAAAAAGTCATTGAATATCAATTCAATAAAAATTTAGAATAAACAAATTTTTTATCTCTGAAATTATTTTCATGGAATATATATTTTTAAATATTCATCATTTAATTTAATAAATCATAATTTCAACATAATTATAATACAGCAACATGGAAAGCAATTTAGAAAACTCGACCTACACGTTAATTAACTTTCTTGGAATTTTTAAATCTAATTACTGGCATTAAAATTATAAAAAAAAATATTGTAGAATAAAATAAAGTAAATTGTACCGTTCTACTATTATATAGTTATTAATTATGCAGACATCGAAGGCAGATGTAATATGTGCATTCGGAGCCAAAAACAGTACCTCTACCACGAAATTACTCTGGCAGTTGTCGCTAAAATATAAAACGTCCCTAGCTGTCATAAGAAGAAACAACATTTTGGATACAAATATTTTACACGGTCGCTAGCGAGAACTGTCGCAGTAATCTCATGATAATGGCGTAGGGCATAGTTGTTTACTTTGCGAGAGTTGTATTTCCAACACTAGATTAGTGTGGGTGAGTGGGTATATGATGGTTACTGAAGGTAAGGTATTGATTAACTCCAGACCTTCACTAATTGCGAATTAATGACACAAGAGCCAAAAACTTGGACTGCTATTTGGGATGGCATAGGAGTATGTAGATGTACCTATACGTATACATACGGCAATTCCGTTTTCCTTTGGTAATGCCGCCGATATTAGCAGAATCTTTGTCCGGAAGAAACGTGCGGTGCTTTGAGAGATAAGTTTAAAGAGATTAACATTCAGTACATTTACGAAAATGTTATTCATGTTCAGAAGAATAGTATTTTAAATTAAAAATAGTGAGACATAACATTAACACGAGGAATAAAAATAATTGGAATTCTTCCAATTCAGCTATTCTTGACGTCGTCCTCACAAAGTTATTTAAGAAGCAATGTATAAGCTTGTATAATAAGATTCCGGTTGATATTCAAAATTTGCCATTTACGTTGTTTAAAACTATAGTAACAGCCACAGCTTCTGCGTATTTGGATGACAAGAATCTGTTGTACTCACCCGTTTAAGATCTAAGATGATCTACGATGTTTCAATCTAAGATGTTTGAAATA